GCACCGAAGGTAGACGCAGCCTTTCAAGTACATTGGAGCTGCCACAGCAGACCTGCAGGGCCCACATTCAATACGCTGCACCCCGCCGGGACGCCGCTGGCAATGTGCAGCGTGAGAAAGGGACATTCCGAGCACCGTACTGACACAGTTACTAAACGAGCCTTTTCTTCGTAACAGCTAAGCTGGCGTGTAGGTAGCCTTTTTTGAGTAAATGCAGGAACACATTCAAAGAGGTCACAAAGCCTGCCTAGCCGAAGCCATGCAAGGCGTTTCTGCTATAGGGTGAGTTTATGATTCACGCTCATATATTATTATAGCCCTGATAAACTGGCAATGTGGTCTGCCTGACGCACACTATTACTGCTCACAACTTGCTCACAAGCCAATTATCCTCACCGAGAGTGGGACTTAGAACAAAGGGCCAAGCTGCTGAGAGCAGAGCTGCTAGGTGTGAGTGGCCCCGCGTGCTTGCCAGGATAAAGGTAATAAAGAATAAAAAGAGCTGAGTTAATGAATGACCAAGACCATCGTTCCCCAGCAAGAAGCTGGGGGTAATCAAGGCAGAGTTTGCTCAGTGATATTTTAAAACTTTAGAACTACACACTTGTAGGTCTACAAACACAAATCACTGAAATTCCCTCCGGAAACTGGTATTTCAAGTGTGGCACTCGCTAGAACCAACCCTTCTCCAACCAAAATGATTGGTGTGGTATAACAATCTGAAAAGAAAAATGTTTTTTTTTAAAGACATAGTATCTCTATATATAAAAGCCTAAGTGACTGAATACCGAACAACCTGGTTGACCGGTTGCTATGACGTGCACTGACCACCAGGGGCAGACGCTCAATGCAGGAGCTGCCCCCTGGTGGTCAGTGTGCTTCCATAGCCAACCTCCCGCAGCCTGCCAACCTCCTATGGTCCCTCTCCCCTGGCCAGCCAACCTCTCGCGGTCTCTTCCCTGGCCGGCCAGGCCCTCCCATAGGCCCAGATTGTCAGCCAGGCCAAGGGACCCCGCTTGTGCACGAACTCGTGCATTGGGCCTCTAGGTCAGAATAAAAGATAACTAAATGAACGTACACTCATGTACTTTGGTACTTTCTCCCCCAATACATTCAACTTTAGGCATTTCCTCAAAACATGGTATAAGTAAATATGGAAAATGATCTACTTTTCTGCAATAGAAAGTTATGGAAGCAGTTAAAAAATGAAAAGGAAGCACTAT